TCTGCGCACCTCTTTCAGGAACCAGCCGACAACCTGGTCTCCTCCTCTTCGCCAGGCTACCAGGGTCTAGGAGTGAGCTATAACCTGGTCTAGAATTGGGTGTCAATCTCCCTGACCCCACCACACCCTCACTTGACTTTCCAATCTCAGGGTGCCAGTGCTTGGCCTCCCCACCTCCCAAGCGCCTCACATGGATTCAGAGTCATGGTATTATGTTAATTTCTGAGGCATCACATTGACAGAATCAAGAAGGAAAAATAAGAATGAGCAACTACCATTTTGAGGGCCTATTGGATGCCACGTGCTGTAGGTTGTCATTTTTACGTTTTTTTTTTCTCTTTAAAGCCTCAAAGCAATGCTCTGACGTGAACATCATTACCTCCTCTCTATAAATGGGGAGATACTCAGGCTCACAGAGCAATGTACACACTCAAAGAACTCCAGGGAGGCATCATATGGACACAGAACCCAACTTGATGTGGCTAATACTGGGCAATTATGTGACAATGTGAGCATAAAAATACATAATCATAGTGTTAGGTTAATGTAGAGAGGAGGCAAGAGAATTAAAATGTTAATCAAGCCACAATCAGAGGCTGCAATTATATTGATCAGCCCTGCAGCCAGGCCAGGGCACCTTCAGAACAAAGGACGATTTCTACTGGGATTTCTAACAAACCATTCCCCACGCCTGTGAAGGGGAAACAGGAACCAACAAATTCATTCCCTATGGCTAAAACTATGCGGGAACCTAAGGATTAAAGGCTGGGAACTGCCAGTAGGCCTTTCACTCTACGTATTCTTACCTTTTCATGCTATATACTCTTCCCTTTCCTCACTGTATGTCCGTATCAAAGGAAATAGGAACTAAAGAATGACATATAAACTGAATTCCTTGGACACTCGGGGTCCCTCTCTGTGCCTTTACTCTGTCTCACTGTCTCTCTCATTGTCCCTCTCACTCTCTGCCTCTGAGAGGAGACCATATTCTTTGGAGTGTTACCCCTTTTCTAATAAACTTTCCTTTTGACCCAACTTTGGTGTGCGTGTTGAATTCTTTGTACATTCTCCACCAAAGGACCTTCTTCTTCTCTTAATACAGGACTTGGTCTCCCCATCACTTGGGGGAAATTTGCCCTGTCCTGCATCAAGGCAGTAACCCTTTGAGAAAAATAGAAATCTGTGAGTCATACTAATATAAATAACTACATAAAAAAAATTGATAGGGAGAAGGAAAAACCCTACCCAACATTCGAATTTTAACTTATAAATCTAGAAAGAATGACAGAATTATAAAAGCAACAATTGACAACCACCATAGTAATGAGTGATTCAGGCAAGATTCATGAATGAATTTTCAGTTTGTATCAATCCCCACAGCAGTCACTGAGTCACCATGGTAATCATGATGGCCAAGGAAAGCTGAAAAAACTAACGGCAACCGTTATCCTGATTAGTTTCCTAATATTTGCTAGGAATTGAGCAGGACTGAAATAACACACAGTAATTAACCTCAGATATTTTTCATGATCAATATTCTTCACAGGTTACCATTACACAGACACAGAGGCAGACACACACACACACACACACATTCATACAAGCTCTCTCTCTCTTTTCCTTACCATCCAAGAACCTGGGACTCATCAAGGTGGATTTGTCTGAGCATAAAGAAGAAAATTCCACAATTCAATTCGAACCTCACGAATAAAGTTAAAAGCTACTCGACTATTTATTTTAGTGACTGATTTTCTAGAGATGATCTGTAGAACTTTCTCTGGGACATTTTTCTCCCTACTTTCAGTGCTTTGCCAATAATATCTAAAAGCTAATATGGAAATAGAAATCAATGAATACTGTGTCAGTAAATTTTGTCAACATGGCAGAGCCACAGTACCTGATAGTTGATCAAACATTATTTTGGATATTTCTGTAAGAGTGCTTTTGAATGAGATATACATTTCAATGGGTGGACTTACTAAAGCAGTCAGCACTCCATAATGTGGTAGGCCTCATCTAATCAGTTGAAGGCCCAAAAAGAACAAAGGGCTGAACTTCTGTGGGCCAGACAGAATTATGCCAGGAGACAGCCTTTGGACTTTTCCTAAAACATCAGCTCTTCAGGGCTCACCAGCAGACTGCCTTTATACTCCAACAGTAACTCTTTCCTGAGTCTCCTGCCTGCCAGCCTCCACCATCAGGTTTTGGACTTACCAAGCCTCCACAATCTCACAAGTCAATTCCCTAAAATAAATCTCTATCTATATATAAACATCCTACTGGTTCTGTTTTTCTGGAGAACCCTGACTAACACACCTGTTAAACGTAAACTATCCTTTCAATCCTAGAGTAACCTGTGCTTTCAATCAAAAAGATTCCTAAGCAACATTTGGCTACTGACAGTTCAGTGAAAATATAATACCTGGACATTGTAATAAAAAATATTAGCATTGAAAATAGTATCAAAAAGTATGAACTACATAGAGATAATCTATGTTTCACATCTATGTCCACAGATGTTCAACAGCTGTACCCTGAACACTGCAAAACATTGAAGAGATAAATCAAAGAAGGTCTAAATAAATGAAAGGACATTTGCCTTCATGTTTTAGAAGACTCAGTATTGTTAGAATGTCTATTCTCCCCATACTGATCTATAGATTCAATGCAATCCTAATAAAAGTCCTATCATTCATATATTTTTAAAACGAAATCAACAGGCTTATTCTAAGAGTCATGTGGAAATGCAAAGAGCCTAGACTATAAAAAAAAACTTTGAAAAAGAAGAACAAAGTTACAGGATAAGCACCATATTCTTCTTCTTCTTCTTCTTCTTCTTCTTCTTCTTCTTCTTCTTCTTCTTCTTCTTATTATTATTATTATTATTATTATTAGGTGATTTTTTAAAAAAAAATAAAT